AAGCACTGCTAAAATTCAACCACTTCTGGAACAGAAGGTAGAAGATAACCCACGAGAAAACAGCAGCAGGAAAACATTTGCACCGATGAGGAAGCCCAGCAGCCTCCTCAGCCATCCTACCATAGGCAGCACACGCGCGAAGGACAATGCTGTGGGCATGGTCCTGCGGAGTTCACCATGGGGCTGGCTCTGCCCATGACACAGGCTGCCTGGGCACCAGCCTGCAGGCAGAGCCAGCGTCACTTCTGCAGGCTGGGCAAGACTGACCCTCTGTGGCACCAGGATGCACTCCAGCCCCAGTGAGTCGGGGGCTGGCTGCCCACTGCCCGCTCAAACTAGGAAAAATAATCCATGAAAACATGAGCCATGCCCCATGCATGTGCCATGGGGTGTCAGGGTGAATGTTTGGAGCAGTTGCACCCAAAATGGAAACCTAATAACTGATATTGAATAAGGGGAAACAGGGGGGCAGAGGGAAGCAGAGCAAGAAGGAAGGGAAAAGAAGATGAGATTACAGGAGAGAGAGAAAGGAGCAAAACCGATTACTAGTGGAAGGGCTTCCACAAGGAGAGGAATCAGAGATTGGTGAAAGCCCCCAGCAGAAAAACGCCACCTCCCAGCTCCTGCCTTCTTTACCAGGTGCCAATGAAAGCAAAGCTTCCTAGGCACAGTGCCCCAGGCCTTGTCCTGGCAGCACCTGAGCAAGCAGCAGACCTCACGCCTGCCCCCCTGCCCCAGGCTCCAGCAAGAGTGTGGCTGCCCCCTGAAAATCCCCTATGAGTGCCAGCAGGGCTGTGCCTGGGTCGGAGGCACCACGGGGGCTGCGTGCGGGTACGGCCCGGCGGCGGCCGCCGCCTGTGAGAATGCCGGGCCACCCGGGGGCAGAGGTGGGTGCAGGCTCTTCGCACTGCCAGGACAGCCGCTGGGATGGCACACGTGCATCGCAAGCCATGCCACACACATGGCGGTAAGGGCACCCTCCTCCACAGATGGAAGACAGATCCTTGCCAGGGACTCTACCATGGCACCTGCACCCTGCCACAGCCAGGCAGCCCTGCGCACCCACACTGGAGGAGCCAAGTCTTCAGGAGGCCCATCTCATGCCAGCTCCCTACAGCATTGCTTGCACAAGCTTTTCCGATATCCCTTTACCCTGTGCTCCCAAGCACTGTCTGCTCTCCAGGTCCCTTCTTCCACACCTGCCTCCAATGCAGGTTTTATTTCTTCCTAGTCCATGGAAATTGCAACAGAGGCAGTCGGTGACTGCCAGGAGCACCAGCTTGCACCTAGGTCTTTCACAGTTGGGTTTGACCCATGAAAGCAACTTTATCACTAACTCAGCAACTGCATTGGGCCTGCTGGGAAGCCCAGGTTGGTCTCTGGCATTCCCTCAACACCAGTCTTCCCGTTCAGCAGCAATGCTCATGGGTGATTCAACCAAAAGACCGCTTACTTTCCTGAGGGTACAGCAGCTTCTCTTCTGCTCCTGCACTGCAGTCTCATTGCTGAACCCTTTCTGCAGCCAAGGCAAGGATAGAGAGGTTGTGAGCACATGTACAAATCTCTTCAGTGAAGCCCTCTCGTCCCACTTCTCTGGCTGCAAACCGGAGTCCTTTGGAGGAGACCTTCCCTGGACAAAGATCATGAGTTTCTTCAGGCTTCTTCTCTGAGTTAAGGCTTGAGATATATGTTGTAGATCAAAAAGCCTTAAGACAAGTCTTCTGAAGCCTGGAACAATGTGTTCGTCCATGGCAGCACCTCTTAACCAGTAAGGAAAACCCAAAAGCTCTGGATTTATTTCCAAACCAGCTTTCTTCTCCTCAAACTTTGTTGGGATGAGCACAGCCCACTCCAAGGGAAGAGCCAACTACTCTGTGGTGTGATCTGAACTCTGCTCTGGAGGGCTCAACGCCAGCTCCGGCCACAGCTCTGGTTCCACAGCTCATGGCAGCCCTTGTGTGTCTCCAGAGCCTGAGGACTCTTGGGGATGTTCGGAGCAAATACCTGGATACTTGGGTATGTCCTCCAGGAAAGAAGAGAACTTCTGGAGCTTTGGAGGTCAGTAGGCTGGCGGGACAGAATGTGTGCCAAGGCAGGAGCTGAGTCTAAGAAGTGATGATGCTGGGAAGGGTCTGTCCATAGAGCAACCTTGAGCTCCCAAGGGATAAATTACCTTCACATTTCTCCCCCCTCCCCCTACGCACCTGCCCTGGGAACAGGAGAAGACAAGTTCCCACATATCAGCTGCTGAGTCTCAGCCACTAACGCCTGGAGAGAAATCACCAGTGAGGCCACCCTGGCACCTGCACCCCAGCGCAGCCCTGGCATCCTGAGGGTCTCCAGAGGGTGGAGGGGAACTCTCTGAATCAAGAGATGTGTGCGCACCTCACTTCTGCTGTTTCTGTCCACCAGCTCCTAAATACTGACATGTAGAGGGTCCCAGTGTGGACCAGGAGATGCTGCTGCAGAGCCCAAGCTTCACTGAAGGTGCCTGTATCTTTGTTGAAGCCCGGGGTTGTGCCCCAGCCCTCACTCACACCCATACTGTCTCCTGGGGACACACACTACAGCCAGTCCAGGTTCAGGCTCCAGATGTGCTGGTAAGGCACAGCCTGCCAACACTGGCAACTTCTGCACTGACTAAGGGAGATGACAGGGAGCGAGAGTGGGACCAGCCTCGCCCCTGCCCCTGCCCCTGCTTCAGCTGCCCCCCTGCCCAATGCTGCTCCTGCTCCGCTGTCTTCCCTGGGGGCACTCAGGCAGGACGTGCACCCCAGCATCGCTGGGCAACACACTGTGGCATGGCTGGGTCCAACCACACCAGAACCAAGTCTCAAAGACCAGTTTTCTTCTGCGCAGTGGTATCTTCTCTTGGCTGTCCTGGGAAACAACCACCATCATGTGAGAGAAACCCTGCATGCAAGCAGTGCCGAGAGCCCACATTCCTCACCCGTGTGCACTGCGCAAGGACATCGAAGGCAGTATAACCCTGCTTTGCACAGGCATAAGTCCAACATTTCTGATGCCTCCAGAGATGCCCTATTTCACGGTGCCTGGGCCCAGGGAACTGTAACTATAGCCAAAATGAAAGGAAAGCACAAGGGCTTGCTAAAGACAGCTTGTAGCTGCCTGCCGGCTTGCACCTGGAGCGGACACCCACAGAGTGCCTGTGCCATAGGGTCAGCACTGCCTCGGGACCCCCAGCACTGGCCTCCAGCATGGCCCCCTCACCCACACAGCCAGCCCTGGGTGTGCACAGCAGGGCTCCACTGGAAGGTCTCTCCCAGGACCCTGTCTCACAACCCAGAAGAAACAGTCAGAGGAGCAGATTCCACCAACAGCCCTGTCCTGGCAAGGGATCCTGCCCATCGCTGGAGAGGGAACCCACCTAGGGGGGCCAGCAAATGGCTCAAGGTCTGCTCAGAGGGCAGGAGCCACCCTGGCAGGCCGGAGGGTCCCACAGCCCACAGCGAGGCAAACTGTGAGAGCGAGGGGTGGGGAGTTAAGGAGGGTGGTGACAACCTCAGGAGAGGAGACAAGGCTTTTCTGCGTGAAAGACTCCATGCTTAGGGAAGCTCCATGCTCAGATGCAAAATCGTCTAGGGTGTCCTCTTCAACCGTCTGTGCCAGCATGGAAACCCCAGCACCCACAGGGAACGGGAGAGAGACAGACAGAGAGAGAGCACATGAGAAAGAATGAAGGAACAAATGGTGGGTAGATGGGTGGGTGGATGGGTAGATGGATGGATGGGTGGATGGATGGATGGGCGGATGGATGAACAGAGGTCACAGCTATGCCAGCTCTAGATGCTCCATTTACATCTCTGCACTTTACATATTTGCTTGTAAAAGAAATGTGGGGTGAAGTCCCTCTTCCTCTTTCCAGCTCACTGCTTTGATGAGGGGCTGTGAGCTCACCTCTGCCCAGACGACCCTGCAGCCCTGGGTCTCTGGTCAGTGCTGGGGACCAGCAGGTGCACATGCACATCACGAATCTCCCGCAGAGAGCCCCTGGCCCAGCCGTCCTGCAGCACCCCGCACCCTCCTCGCAGCCCAGCCTCACATCCTCACTTGCTCTGCAAGACTGTCCCAGGAGGGAGCCAGGGCAAAGCGGGCCCCGCGTGTGGTGTCCACCCTGCCTGGAGCCATGCCCACTGGTGTGGGCACAGGACTGGCTCCAGAACCCCCACAGGGGAGAGAACACCATGAAGGAAGAGCAAGCAGGGAGGGTCCCTGGCAGGGAGAGGGCATCCAGGCTGGCACCAGGGATGCCCTTGTCACATGCTGCCTATACTGAGCCAACCAGGAACCCAGTGTCACAGAGCACCCAACTGCGCCACATCCGCGCCCTTCACGCAGCACTGGGGGCTCTGCATGTCCTGGCACCCCCAATTCCAGCTCCCCAGGCGCCTTCCTTTCACACTCGCAATCCCACTGCAAAGCCAGCAGGCAAAATGCCAGGAGGGGAGGGGAGGATGTGCATGCAGGATGCCAGTGCGGCACTGCTCACCCCTCCACCTACTTCCACCACCCAAGTCCTAGCTGGTGAGAGCACAATGGGGCACCTCTGCGCAGGTGCCTGGTCCTGCTCTGCTGAGGACACCCCTCGGGCGAGAGCTGCACCGGGCACTGCCACGCAGCAGCCCTGCTGGTACGAGGGGTGAGGAAAGCCCTGTCTCTTGGGCCAACAAAGCCACAGCCCAACTCTCAGGTACCCCCAAAACACAGCCCCCCAGAGAACGATGAGAAGTTCAACCCCATGCAGTGCCTGGGCACAAGGGGAGATCACTACCAGCAGTGTGAAAACGGTTAGCTCGTTACAAAACAGAGACAATGGCCTGGTCAAAGGCCCCCTCCCTCCACCCCGTGTCCCCCACCACATAATTTCCACCATGCTTCCCCAGGGTAGCACAGGAGGCAGAGACCCAGAGCCCAACAGCTGAGGAACACTTCCCCACGAACAACCTGATCCCCTCCATAAGAGAAGCAGCGGAACAAACCTCGCTGGCCTTCTCTGGGGTTCCCTTTGGTGTTTCATCCTCATGCTTGGGTGAGGAAGAGGCTGGTGAGGAAGGCAGCCTCCTGTCCCGGTCCCTGTGAACCAGCTTGCTGTTGGGCTCCTTCAGGGTCCGTTTCAGCTCATTGATGCTGGCCTGATGCTTCAGCAAAACATCTTCTGGCTTGTCTAAAAACTGGGGAAGGAGAGAGGAAGATAACTATGGTTAAAGCACCAGCCAATGCAAAAGAGATGAGCAGGGGTACTGGGAGGGTTTGCTTCACACTGGGCTTGAATTTAAGGTCTCAAGAGACAAATGAACAGCATGTCAGAGCACCCTGGTCTGCAATTCTCACTAAGACTGTTGCGGGGAGCAGCAAAAAGGCAGCACGTGGCTGAATGTGCTTGGCAGGCTTCCCTCTGTGAAGGGCACAGCATGCCCCTTCGGCATCTCCAGCATGGCCTGTTGAGGACAAGTTAAGTCACCTGGAGGAAGAGAGCGGGCTCTCCCTTGGGATCAGCAAGAGATCAGGCCCTTTTGGAAATACCAGCAGCCTCCCCTGCTGCTCTCTCATGCCAGGCGCAAAGGGAGCCCGAGCCTCTGTCCCCGCAGGGCAGGAAACTGGCATTTCCAACGGAGCTCCTTCAGATGGGCTTCTGCCAAAGGGCAGGAGGTCAAGGGCTGGTCAGAGGTGTCCAGCATGGGTCCAAGCCTGGATCACCATGGACCAGCCTGGGCCCAATGGCAGCCTGGGGTGGGGTGCGGTCTGGCCTGCTGTGGAGAGAGGACAGCTCAGAGCGCTCAAGTGCAAGGTGGGGTTTAGGTGTTAGAGCATCGTTTTGTGACGGTACAGGCACCAGGGTGGCTCCCCTCATCCTGCCACAGAGGTGGGCAAACTGGCTCAGAGCAAGAACCAGCAAGAGCAAGAACCCTGGCTTCTGCTTCAAACTCAAACTCAAACCTCTTTTGAGGTTCGAAACGAGTCAGCTAAAATACTTCCCCGGTATTTCTCCTCAGCAACAGCCTTGAGACCCAAGAGAGTCCCATGAAAAACCCTACAAAATTTTCCTGATCCTGAAGGCTCAGTGCAACTCATGAAACCTCCCACCCTGTGGACCCCCGTGTCTGAGTCATGGAGAAGTGCTTCATGATTTGCCCACCTCTGGGCTTGGGGTGCTCTGGGGGCTGGGGGAGCACATGCACATGCAGCAGGGTAAGCAATGAGGCAGGCAGGGGAGGAACTGGGACCGGTGCCCACCATCCCGGCGGGGTCTGCTCTGCGGTGCCGAGCGGGACAGTGAGCACTCTGTGGTGCCAGCACGGCAAACCCCATCACCTGGCCGTGTTTGCCTCCGTCGACAGCTCCAGCGAGCATGTACATCCCACTGCAAGCAGAGGGGAAACCCCCAGAGAGCAGCCGTGGATTTTAGGCTGGGATGAATCGTTCCTGATGGGGGGCCACCATGGACACAGGAGTTTGTGCAGGGGAGGGCACAGCCTCCCTCTTCTCTGTGACAGCCCGCTCTCAGGCCGGGCAGATGCAGGCAGTTGCCCTCTGGCACAGGGGGTGGGTGCCAGTGCCTGCCCCCACAAACAGCTGAGCCGGCGCTGAAGGCAGCTCAGAGACTCATTTGCTCCCTGCGGGGCGGGATGGCAGCCGCAGTGCTGCGAGGAGCTCCAGCCCGGCTCTCCGCGGAGGGGAGCCACGCTGCAGGAGCAGGGGGCTGTGGGAGAGCAGAGCCACCAGGCAGGGCAGGTGGCAGAGGCAGTTCAGGTCAGGCAAAAGCAGAGCGTGGGTCGGGGCGCCAGCAGGAGGGATGGGACCAGCCTCCACAGGAGAGCTAGGGCTGCAGTGCTGGACGGAGAGGAGACACGAGGCGAGGACATGGCGGAGTCAGTAACACGAGCAGAAGCCAGGTCTTCCCAACGGGCCAAGGACTTGGCGCAGGGGCCTGGCCATTGCGTCTTGGGAGGGCTCTTGCTCACACGTACGATTAGGACTACCTTACTTAGTGGGATAGAAGATGCTGTGTGCATGCTGGGGCAGATCCCCAGCTGTTTGCTCATCGGGCTTCTCTAGCATCCAACCCCCACACCCTGGTGCATCTTGTATTCCAGTAAATAGGGTGACACACAGTGTTGCTTTGGAAAGGATGGACAATATGATGCACCGATGAGGACTAAGATACTCCAGAGAGAGAATACCTCCTGCTTGTGCCTGGGGGTTGTTTCGTGCTCCGGCTGGCAGCAAAGAGAGGGTTAAAAGTAACCAGCAGGGTCAGTCGAGGGAACTTGTCACAAACATCACAGTTAAGTTGATGGGCTGGTAGGGCGCAGAAGGACCGGACCCCCCCTCCCCTCGCAGCATGGGGCTGAAATAGGCTGGGGTGTCCCTGGGCCAGCCCAGGGGCCAGGGCAGGGAGCGGGTGGGCTGTGCCTGGGCAGTGGGGGGCACAAGTGAGTACTGGTGTGCCTGGCCTCTCCCCATCCCCATCCCTGTCCTGGAGCGGGGCTGCTCCCAGGTCCAGCCCTGCCTGGGAACAAGCCTTGAGACCACCTGGAGGGCACTGGGGAATCAGAGTTGAGCCAAGCCCCTGTGACAGCCCCATTTCCACCGGTGAGGCCAAGAGCCATGTCCCAAGAGTCCCACCAGCCTGGGGCACAGCTGGCAGAGAAAAGGCTGCAGGCGACTGTGCCCTGAGCTGACCCTTCCTGCCTGCAGCCCAGCCCTGCTGCCTATGCCCGGTCCCCTGCCTGCCCTCTCCAGGTGTGAGCCAGCCTACCGCTCCACCTCCACCCTCCTCTGCCCGCCTCGTCTGTACCTTCAGTTCCTTGATTTTCGTTGGGGTAGTCACCTCCTCGTCCTCCGTCTCGGACCGCCTCCTGCTGCCAAACTCACCGTCCTCATCCTGCTTCTCACCCTCTGCCCCGGTGTCGTGGTTCTCGCTGACGGAGGCTGGGCGCGAGAACTCTGCCCGTGGGGGAGAGGCCAGGTCACCCCAGCCCCGCCCCC